CCAAAATGCAGACAGGGGAATAGGATTTCCACATTTCTAAGCCCTGTGTGAAAATTATATTTGACCCCTGGGTCAGACTGGCTCTTACCTTGGATGCCAAGTACTCAAGGTTTCTTGGCTCCAGGGCAACAGCCATTTTAGAAGTGGAATAATTAATAATAGACGCACGTAACCTCTCAACATCGTTTTTTCCAGCCAACTGAACTGAGTGTGTTTAATCTCTTTGCTGTAATATTCCAAGGATTTTCCATCTCCCCCCCCCCCCAAAAAAAAACACCCTGTCAGTTAAATAAGTTACCCTGAGAATCCTGCTTCTTGGCTCTCAGATAATGTGTCATCATGAGTCCTTGGAAGGGAGGGGGTGGGGCTTCTGAATTCTGCCCCGCCTTTTTTGTTACACTTTTAGAAATAACTGCTTTTAGAATCCCTCATTGTATTCGAAAAAAACTTCCCAGGCTTCCAGTATAGTCTCCACTGGAGTCCCCATCAAATTATCGTAGAAGTCTAGGATTCCACAAAGCTCAGTTCAAAAAAGCTGTGCTGATGTCTGTGCGAAACCTGTTTCTTTAAAAAGTAACCTGGCAAGTAGGGGGCAATTTTATGGTAGCCAAAGCCCATTCTTGGCATCTGAGGAAAGGTAAGATCTTCAGAAGATTGGGCCGTGCTGTGAAAATGGGTGGGGCCACGATATGTACATGGAAAGGATTGGCCTTTTCTGTGTTTTTTGTTTACTTAACTATTTAGCTTCTTTTAGAAATTTATTTGATTCCTACCAATCTAGCAGTTCGGAAGCATGCAAATAGATAAATAGGTATCGCTTCGGTGGGAAGATAATTGATCCGTGCACCTCTGCATATAGTCCTGCTGGCCACATGACCACAGAAGTGTCTTTGGACAACACTGGCTTCCTCAGCTAAGAAATGGAGATGAGCCCTAGAATCAGACATGACTGGGCAGGGGGAAACCTTTACCTTTTAAGGAATTTATGAGTCTTTGGTGGGTCTCCTTCATTAAACTATGCTGCTAACATTTGATACAATAGTCAGAGAAGAATTCAGGGATCACAAACAATGATTCGGGTTAGGTTTGGGTGAACGGGTACCTCCGTTGAGCAGCTGTGAGTGAACCGGTTCGCTCCGACAATCAAGTGGGCCTGCCTGCCCGCCCCTGCACTTTACTTACCTATATCCTCTCAGTTGTGTTTACTTACCTATATCCCCGCCTCAGCTGTGTTACCCCCCAGAAGCAACGTGGAAGGTAAGTTTTGTTAAAATGCACAGGCATGCACGGAGCACGCGATCACCAAACCAGTTGTTAAACTGGCCAGATCCCACCACTGGGCTAGATATGGTGTGTGTCTCCCCCATGTAGCACAAAGGTCTCCCCCATCCCACTTAAAGTAGCAGAAGAAGCAAAACTTGGGATAGTTATCTTATGTTTTGATCTGCAGTTCGAACCTGTTCTAAAGATCTCTTATTTCTGATCTCTCAGATTCTCCTCTTCAGTCATTGTCGGCCACTTCTAAACTGAAAAAGAAGAGGAGGACCAAAGACCCAGGAGGAGAAGCCCTTTCTCTTTTTTCTAACTCCTTTCCACCTGAGAGGTAAGGTGTGGAGACATGCAAAGTATTTGGCTTTACAAAACTATCCCCGAGAGGTGAATATAAAAGCTGTGAAGTTCAAATAATAATAGCAACCACATTTAGATGTATACATCCTTTCACAGTGCTTTACAGCCTTCTCTAGGCGGTTTTACAGAATCAGCATATTGCTCCCAACAGTCTGGGTCCTCATTTTACCCACCTTGGAAGGATGGGAGGCAACCTTCAACCTAGTGAGATTCAAACTGCCAAATTGCAGGCAGTCAGCAGAAGTAGCCTGTAGTACTGCACTCTAGCCACTGCACCACCATGGCTCAATAAGATGTTGGTTAGTGAAGCATATGCATCAGGGGTGGTATTCACTTACCTTTCCTACCGGTTCGCAAATGTGAGTGTGTGCTCTTTTGGTGAAAAAAAGGCCTAAATGGGATGCCATAGAGCCGGGGCGGGTGGGCAGAGCCATTCATGATTTCCACTACCAGTTTTGGCGAACCAGTAAAATACCACCTCTGATACGCATCAGATCAGCCTCCTGACAATCAGCTGTTTCAGGCTGCAGGGATTGCCATAGCCTATTGCTGCCTTTGTGCGCCCCATTTTCAGCTTCCGCATCCCATTTTTGGCCTCTTTGCGTGTCATTTTTGGCCTCCGTGCACCCCATTTTGTGCCCATTCTGATCCCCATTATCTGGTATGGGTGGAAAATGGGGCATGTGGAGGCCAAAAATGGGACAACGGAGGCAGCAATAGGCTGTGGCAATCCCTGCATCCTGAAACAGCTGATTGTCGGGCGGCCGATCCAATCGACAATCAGCTGCTTGTGCTAATCAGGCTGTGCTGAAACTGAAACTTGCTGTTTGCTGCAAGAAAGCAAATTGCTGAGAGACAGGCAGATTCTTTTTTTTCTTGTTTTCCTCCCCAAAAGGTAGGTGCGTCTTATGCTTTGGAGCATCTTATACTCTGAAAAATATGGGAATTTTAGGCCCGGATGAACTCTCTGCTGGATCTGTCCTTTTTCTGACAGCCTTATCAGATTTTGTTGTGATGGCTCCTATAGAATTAGGCATGAGCTTTTCAGTAGTGGCAGCCATATTCTGGAATTCTCCCTCTCTTTGTTTAGGCATTAAATGAAAGATACATACCAGTATTATATCTCTTCCGTTCCTGTTGAGTGACATACCAATTTAAAGGCCATGTTAAATAAAAATCACGGTATCCAGTAACCATTTGTTTCTACATGTTCTATGGTGCTTAATTAAGCCAAAGCATTCAGCAATTAAACTGGCGTATCCAATTAGCTACATTCCTGCTGCATTTTCTTTTTTTCTTTTTAAATGTTACTTTTCAAGCAGGGAGGCAGAAGATAAAGAGAAAGAAGAGGAATTTGGGGAGTTCCAGCTTTTAACAGATGATCATCCTTTTGACAGTGAGGAAGAAGTAAGTACCGTGCACAATTGGAGCGAGGTTCAAATGGAGCATAAAGCACATATGCCAGTCCAATCCTGAAACATGGTTTCCAGTCCTAATTCAGCAGCAATGACAACAATATTTTTTGTTCAGCTGGTCAGTTTAAATGCTCCTATTTGTTCTAACCCAGGCTTCCTTCAAAAGCAAGAAGCAAAGTCTTGGTCCTGGCAAAACCCCTTTTATTTACATGACTGTGAATTCCTTTCATCCACAGTCAGCAAGGCTTAGCAAACTGTCTTTCAGAGGAATGTTTATCAACACGAACCTTATCTCACTCAGAGAGCTGCCCGATAACTAGTTTCCAAACACAGGGCAACATTTGGCACAGTCTCTTAAAGTCACAAACAGACCTTTCCACTCTTGAAACAACTGAAGGAATGAATTGTTTCCTGCAAAAGCCCACTCCCTGTTCACTCCTCTTTTGTTTCCTATGGGAGGGGCCAATCACCTCCAAGGTGTGGCTTTACTCCCAAGTTGACCCTGCTTTCTTAGTTGTTCTTGTCTTTTGGCAGCTCTGGGCCTGCGCACACTGGGAACAGGCTCCAGCTGTTCCTCTGCCTTGCTGCTGTCTAACTCTGCCTCTGAGGTAGAGCCCTTGTCTGAGCTTTCCTCAGTCCCCAGAATTGGCCCATGTTCCTCCCCAACCTCCTTGTTGGCCGCTGGCGGGCCACAACATTATTTTCATTCATTTTCAGGCAAAGTAGAAGATAATTCTGCACTAACCACTTAATTGTCCAATAAAATATAAGATAATTCATATTAAGTAAATGCTCATTATTCTCTCTTATTTTGCACAGAGGTAGTTCTTAACTTACAATCATTCATTTAGTGACAGTTCGAAGTTACAATGGCACTGAAAAGAGTGACTTGTGACCGGTGTTAACACTTACAACCGTTATAGCATCTCCATGGTCACATGATGAAAATTTTTGACACTTGGCTACTGTGGCATGTTTATGACTTGCATTATCCGAGGGAGTCACATGATCCCCATTTGTAACCTTCCCAGCCAGCTTCCGACAAGCAGAGTCAATGGGGGAAGCCGGATTCGCTTAAGGATGTCATGATTTGCTTTGCAACTGCAATCATTCCCTTAACAGCTGTAGAAAAACGTCAGGACAAAACTCACTTAACAACTGCTTTGCTAAGAAACAGAAATATTAAGCTCAATGGTAGATGTAAATCGAGGACTTGCTATGCTTTGTCATTCCTTCCGGTTGGAAAAGAGCAAATTGGAAGCTTTCCCACTCACTGCCATGTTCTGCTACCTGTTTGGTATCTTTGGGATTTCAACAGGTAACTCCCGTGTTTTGGAGCAGCACTAAATCCTAGGCCTGTGATGGCGAACCTATGGCACGCGAGCCGTAGCCCCAGTTTAGCTCTGCCACGCATGCACAGGCACCTCCCGCCAGCCATTTGGTCTTCGGGTCTCTGCTGTGCATGTGGAGAGGGCGGGGTGCATGCACGGGGGATGTGCACGGGATGCACCCACATTGCATTTTGGGGCATGCACGCTTTGAGCGTTCGGTGCCGAAACGGTTAGCCATCACTGTCCTAGGCGCTTGCTCTCTTTTTTTCCTCCTAACAAAATCTTTGATGAAATTACTCTGCGTTGCTAATCTCATTCTTTTTTCTTTTGCTCCCAGTTTAATACAATCATAATCTTCCATTAAGAGAAGAATGGTTGTATTAACTCTGCTAAAGGAGGAAAAAGAAAAGAAAAGAACAAATAAAGATATTGGAGGATATTAAAGGATATGTTACCATGCTTCAAGAATTCATGAACGTGATATTTTTTCTGATTCATAGGATGAAAAGTGCAAAGAGGAGGAGGAGGAGGAAGAGGAGGAGGAGAGTGATCAGGAGGAAGAAGGAGGTGATGGGGTAGAATATGATGATGAAGAAGAAGAACTGAAGCGAAGGGAAGGAAGGAAGAATAAATTGTAAGTAACGCTTTCTAACTTATTGGCAAATTTGATTTCATCTTAAATCCTTTAAAGCAGAATGAAACCACAAAAAACAAAATGGGGAAAAAATAGGCTAAGGAACTAAAATTGTATTTAAATAGTAGCCAATAACCCGGCGTTGCCTGGGTATTTATTTATAGGGGAAAAATGTCTGGACCAAATGTAATTTCTAATGTTGGATTTTCCCCGTTACCTACCAGAGAGATCCCCCCCCTTTGTGGAGTACTGTAAAACCGTTACCATGGCAACTGTACTGTGCTGCACAGTAGAAGCCATTGTACAACAGTACAGTAGAAGCCATTTTAAGGCACAACAGGCTGTATCTTAACAGAACACACATCCTGAGAGGTTTTAGGGGTGACTCACCTCCACAGTGTTTTTCTCTAGAGGGTAAGTTGTGTGTACCAAATTTTGTTGAAATTGCTCGAGAGTTATTCCAGAGTTATGCTGGAACGAACACACACACACACACACACACACACACACACACAAACAGAGGTTTTTATATAGATAAGTTAAAAGTTAAGGAAACTTTCAAGACAGCTTGTCTGAGAAGCTTATTAAAATTTATGTGGGATGAATGAACTGATATTATAAATAAAGCTGTATCGTGGCAACCCAACTCTATCTTAGCGTGGACTTTGCTTCCAACCTTCCATTTGTCTTCCAATATTTCACCGAATTAGAAAGGGGTTCTCCACATAGGAATCTCAGCGCAACTCCTGTGTCGCTTGTCAATTTTTTCTAATAGCTGAGCTGAAAGAAAATATTCTCTCTTGGAGATCCTGGCCAGCTTTTTGTGAACAATATTGCTTTGAATTCCTTTTGAACTCAACTTGCCTTCTTCCCCACCCCCCACCCCCTTTCAGCAATTTAAAAGATTTCATGGAAGATGAGGCTGAGCTGTCGGGCAGTGAAGGGGGAAGTGAAGATGAATATGATGGTGAGGAACTCAACGAGTACGAAGAAGACGTTCTGGATGAGATTCTTCCAGAAGATGGAGAACTTCATGATCAAGTCAATAAAATCCATATGTAAGTATTTGGCTGTATATCAGTGCGCTTGTCTATTATGGTTGCACTTCAGTTTTTGCATAGATCTTCCAAATGGAAACTAGTCATGTTCCCTTTCCTGGTCTGCTCCCTCTCCAGGAAGATGATACGCGATGATGATAAACGTCAGTTGCGCTTGTATCAGGAGAGGTACCTTCTCGATGGAGACCTTCACAGTGATGGTCCTGGAAGGATGAGGAGGTTCCGATGGAAGAACATAGGTAGGATGAGTTAGTACGCTGGTCTGTATCAAGTTTTGTATTCACAGGTTCTGTGAAGCCGTTATCATGGCAACTCCACAGCGCTGTAGAGTAGAAGCCATTTTAAGCCAGTATGGTAGAAGCCATTTTAAGGCACAACAGGCTGTAACAGAACTCACACACACAAAAAGATATTAGGGGTGTCTTACCCCCACGGTATTTGTTTCCAGAGGGCAAGTAATCTGTATACCAAGTTTGGTTGAAATTGCTCAAGACGTTCCAGAGTTATTCTGGAACACACAGTCAGAAACACAAACACAGCCATTTATATATAGATATGTAGATATCCATTATCACTTTGCCCTGGTCACAGATCTCATGCCTTCTCCTCTGAGTCCAGATGCTTTTTCTTCTAAAACAAACCCTGAGACTTGGGCGGGGGGGACGAGGAGCTTATTTTCCTTTTGTGTGTTGCGTTCTCAGATGATGCTCCCGAGGGAGAGGATCTTCCCAAGGATGCCGACAGTGGGGATGACAATGAAAACCACCTTGAAGAGACCGAGGCCAAGTGGAGGAAGGAGCGCTTTGAACGAGAACAGTGGTTTCGAGAACAGGTAACCAGCATGGTACCAAGTCACGGAAAGGTAGTCCTCGACTTACAACTGTTCATTTAGTGACTGTGAAGTTAACAACGGCGCTCCAAAAAGCAACCAGCACCTCTGTGATCACGTGATCAGAATTTGGATGCTTGGCAACTGGCATGTCTCTATGACAGTTTATTTAATTAGGGGATTTATATTGCCAACTAGTTGCCCATGGAAACTCAAAGGCAGTTTACAGAATATAAAACCTCATATAAGAACAATTAAAAAAACAAATAAAAGAAGAGTCATATAATAAATTAATGAAATCACCCCCTGCGACAGCCCCTCACAATGAGCCATTTAATGTCCCAGGTTCACGTGATCACTTTTGGCAACCTTCTGACAAACTAGATAATATCAGTGCTGGTTATCCTAAAATTTCTAGCACTGATGATGTGACCAATAAAAGAGAATATTTGTAGCTCAGGGTTGAAATGAGGGGTCCTTGGTGCTCTCTGAGCTTGCTTGTTTTCTTGCAGACATTTCACTACCTTACTAGGTTACATCATCAAAAAACAAAAACAGGAGTCATCTACAACATACAAGTCAGATTCGCTTAACAACCTTGTTACTAAGGTCATAAAATGTCCAATAAACCATAAAATGAGGCAAATCTCAACAAACAATTATCTCGCTTAGCAAGATAATTGTGGTCATAAGTTGAGGACTACCTGTATTTCCCAGAGTAGGCCAGGAGAACATGCAACCTAGGCTAGAAGCCCCCAAAAGGCCTAATGTTACATGGTTGTCAGCTTAATTTCAAAAACTCTTTATTATCAAGTAATTCAGATGTGGAGGAGAAAAAACCCGTTTCTTCCCCAGCAGTCTATCATGTGAAAGGAGCAGAGGAAAGAGAGTATCAAAGAGTGGGATGTCCACAAGAGACAAATAAATGATGGAACCATTTTTTTTTAAATATGCCCCCTGATCAAGGCTGAAGTCTTGTACCATCCCAATCAAATGGTTGTCCAGTCTGTTCTTGAAAACCTCCAGTGATGGAACACCCACAACCCCAGGAGGCAAGCTATTCCATTGATTAACTGCTCTCACTGTCAGAAAATTTCTCCTTACTTGTAAGTTGGACAGGGTGGGTAGGCTGAGAGAAATCATGGACACAAACAACCAAGAAATGGAATTTGTTCGTAGCTAATCTCCTAATCTTGTGCGCCTTTGGCGTTTAGCCATGTCGGCCACATGACCACAGAGAGGTCGTCGGACAGCGCTGCCTCTTCGGCCTTGAAAGTGAGATGAGCACCACCACCCACTAGAGTCGGGAATGACTAGCACATATAGGCGAGGGGAACCTTTAGACAGTGATTTTGTTCAATTTTGTTCAAGAGAGAATTTTTTTCTGCCTCTTCTTTCCTTCTTGCTACTTTGTCTAATGCAAGTTCTTCTGCTTATTCACAGTCTACGAAAGGAGGAAAGGAAAAGGAGGAGGAGGATGTGGATGTGGATGAGGATAGCCAGTTCATGAGACTGGCCAAAAGGTTCACCCACAAGTCATTGCAAAAGAAAGGTATTCTTCTTTTCCCCCCTTTATGAATGGTAGAGTTACATCTTAAGAAGGAAGGACTCTAAACTTATTTTTTTTCCCAAATTGGCTGATTTTTAAAAAAATATCAAGGCATCTCTTTATGCTCCATGGATCTTCCTTATCACTGAATTTCAATTGTGCAGTAGCAAAAAATAACTGCTATGTTCTAATTAACATTTTGCTGATTGAATTGAGTTTTTTTAAACCTGCCACAATAGAGAGACTCCTAGTAGGTTATAATATCAACCACAAAACAAAATATGATAATTGAAACATGGGGAAAATGATAACAACAATATAACTAATAAAAAAAAATTGAAGGAGAGACCAGTAACTCAAATGTCCCTTTGAAATTTAACAAGGTAAGAGCTGACTAGATTCTTGGGGCCAGGAAGTTCAACTGAATCAGCACTATCATGGAAAAATATTTTTAATCCTTACGTCCATTTAAGCTCAGGTCTACTGCTTCAGTGACTCCATCCAGCTACCTCATTCTCTGTTGTCCCCTTGTTCTTTTACCCTCCATCTTTCCCAGCATTAGGTTCTTCTCCAGTGAGTCCTTCCTTCTCATCAGGTAACCAAAGTATCTTCAGGATCTGACCTTCTAAAGGGCAGTCAGGGTTGATCGCCTTTAGAACTGACCAGTTGGATCGCCTTGCGGTTCAAGAGACTCGCAGGAGTCTTCTCTAGCACCATAGTTTAAAGGCCTCCATTCTTTGGCGATCAGCCTTCCTTGTGGTCCAACTTTTACAGCCATACATTGCAACTGGGATACATAAGTGGCATAAATTCACAGCCATACATTGCAGCTTGCCATAGTTTTAAGAAAAATCAACAACCCTGAACTTTCCTCCTCTCTCTTGGCCATCTATATAAAATTAGTAAGGCTGAGTCACACATATTGGGGGTGGGGGTGGGGGAGACACAGACAAGAAATGTTGGTTTTCTTCTAGGTTTTAAAACAACTTTATTTTGTGTGTGCCAGCCAAAATCAGTGATTCATCTTTGCTAATTTTGTACCATTTTCTTTGTATCCCTAACTTCCCTCCCCCAAAGTTAAGAACAGCCTTCAAAGGTCATTAAATCATTTTAAATAATCCTAGGTTAAAAAGAGAGGGACGTGGTGGCTGAGTGGCTAAGAGGCTGAGCTTGTGGATCAGAAAGGTCGGCAGTTTGAATCCCTAGCGCCTTGTGAGTGAGCTCCCATTATTTGTCCCAGCTTCTGCCAAACTAGCAGTTCGGAAGCATGTTAAAAATGCAAGTAGAAAAATAGGGACCGCCTTTGGTGGGAAGGTAACAGCGTTCCATGCGCCTCTCCACCGGGAATTGGCACCCAGATCATCATAGAATAGAATAGGAGAAGAATGGAATGGAATAAGAATAGGAATATTTCATTGGCCAAGTGTGATTGGACACACAAGGAATTTGTCTTTGGTGCAAATGCTCTCATTGTACATAAAAGAAAAGATACATTCATCAAGAATCATAAGATACAAGGTTAATGATAGTCATAGGGTACAAATAAGCAATCAAATCATACTAGGGACCAATCAGTATAAATTGTAAAGCTACCAGCAACAAAGTTACAGTCATGCAATCATACGTGAGAGGAAATGGGTGATAGGAATGATTAATTCCAAGATTAACATCAGACCAACAATCAAGTGAGCAATACCCCAATCAAGAAACTGCCATCAGTAAACATGAGTCTCTAAGACTGCTCCCACCCTCATATAGATAGGCAAGTCACCAGAATATAAACTGACAGGAAACAGCACTCCTTACTGGCACTGATGATGTTACCCAGTTAGCTAATGACACAAGAGCACCAAAGGTAGCAGCATCACTGAAAACACACACGCACCCTAAGTTTCCACCTGCTTCTCTAAAAGTGGCCTCTGTAAGCCCCAGGTTTCGGCTATAATGGAACCTGCCCATCACAGTCATAAATCATGGCAGTCATAAATCAAGTCACCCATGTGACCGGCCCAATTTTACAACTATTTTTGTGGTAGTCGTTTAGCAAATGCAACTCTCAGGGTTCCAAATAGCATCCTCAAGTAAATAAGAGTCCAAGGCAAAGGATTCCTCAAAGTCCCAATTTATTAAGAGAGCCATGTGGGCACATCTGGGAAAACCTGAACCCGAAAGCTTCCCGGTTTTCCACACCTAGCTGAAAGTTCAAGATCTTGCCCCCACACCCACAAGTCCATCCCATGGTCCAATCTTCCATTGCCATGCTGGCAGTTTCCACCCATCCAATTCTGGTCAGGTGCAGCGGTGCAGAGACAAAGGATGTCCTTGGCTTTCTAGAAAGAATTTTGTTGTGGCTACATAGCAATCTAACTCCATACAGTCCTCCCTCCCATTTTCCCACAATACAAAAGGCATAGTAGAATAATAGAAAGTAAGGCAGGGCAAAGATCCAAAAGAAAAGATGTCTGCAGGCCTGACATGCGGTGGTGGTTTTTTTTTTTTTTTTTTTTTAAAAGCAGTGGTTCGCTGTGTCCCAGTTTTGGTGAACACTGTAAGTAAATGTTGGTTTTTGACAAAACTGTTGGAAACGTGGTGATGCGACTGAGGGATACTATCCTCAAAGCAACTCTGAAATCGACTCAAGGATGGTTTCTAAACCAAGCTTGTCCTTGGATTGGGTTGGCCTGACCTGTGAGTGCCCACACGGGAAACAGTTTGTCCGTACATAAACTCTCTCTCCTACACTGCGTGAATGGCCGAAGAAGCAGTCAGTGCAACTTTTCCTGCTGTTTGGTTTGCCTTCTGAAAAGCTTTCCTTTCTCTCCCCCTGTTTTTTTCTAGCACCCTCTGCAGTAGCTGTTCAGGAAATTAAATCACTACCCAGAAATCCATTTGAAAATTTCCAGCCCGGCAGCAAACCACAGGTTAGTATCATCTGAGGATGGACAATTCCTTGTTTAAAGTTATACCGCCGGTAGAAAACGTTCTTTATAATAGAGGTGAGCTTCCTGTCTCTGGTAATAAATACCAGATTGCCCCCAGAGGTTGGGCTGTCACAGATGGCCTTGATTGTGCGGGAAAGCTTGTGTATGTAATGCCTGAGCCTTGTGCTTCCCTGTGAAAAATATCCCAGGTTCAACCCTGCTTTTTCCAGTTGCAGAATCTCTCACTGCCAGCAACTCCTTGGAGAAATGCCACTAGTAGGGACCCGGTGGCTCAGAAGCTAAGACACTGAGCTTGTCAATAAGATAGGTCGGCAGTTTGAATCCCTAGCACCGCATAACAGAGGTCCCGTTACTTGTCCCAGCTTATGCCAACCTAGCAGTTTGAAAGCATGTAAAAAATGCAAGTAGAAAAATAGGGACCACTTTTGGTGGGAAGGGTAAAACTGCAGTCCATTGTAGCCTTTTTTGGGGGGGGGGGTATTTATATGCATATGTATTTAAATCAGTGGTAGTCAACCTGGTTCCTACCGCCCACTAGTGGGCGTTCCACTTTCATGGTGGGTGGTGGGGGTTTGCTGTAACTCTGCTTTGTAAATTTTATAAAATAAAGTTACTTCCCTACTTTATAAATCACCATTACTGTGGAAGTGCGGGGCGGTCAGATAATTTTACTACTAACAGAGATACAAAAGTGGGCGGTAGGTATAAAAAGGTTGACTACCCCTGATTTAAATATATTGTGAGGGGTTCAGTGGCTAAGACGCTGAACTCGTCGATTAGAAAGGCCGGCAGTTCGGCGGTTCGAATCCCTAGCGCCAAAAAAGGCTACAATGGACTGCAGTTTTACCCTTCCCACCAAAAGTGGTCCCTATTTTTCTACTTGCATTTTTTACATGCTTTCAAACTGCTAGGTTGGCATAAGCTGGGACAAGTAACGGGACCTCTGTTATGCGGTGCT